GAAATTTGACACATATGTTTCTGATTCACCTTCAGAGAAGTCACCAAGTGGAGAGCAGAGAAAGTTACAGTTATTACAGCCTTTTTTCCCTTTAGAGAGAGGAGTGAGGTATTTGAAGAGCAAGCACCCGGACACCGCTGTGCTGAGGCTGCCGGTAAAACTGAGTCCCCAGGAGGCTTCAGGGAATGTTACTTTTTCAAGACGTTATCCTCTTCCTGTAGCTCTGTCAGTGGATGTCATGAATAATGAACGTCCTGGGTGTTGCTTTGGGAAAGTGGAACTGACCCCCTCTGCTGACTCCTCCTTGGGGCTCTCCTCCTGTGCTCTAAACAAGGTCCCGTTGACTGGCCAGCATTTCTCACAGTCTCTCTGTTCTAATTCCCAATGCTGTTGCCATAGCACCCGATATACTTAAAGGCTGGCATATGCCCTGTGAGCCACCCACATGCCTACTGGATATTCCCCTGGGCAAGAGGAACACAGGCAGGCAAAAGCCCATGGCCCAAGCCACTCCGTCCTTGGGGTGAGGAGAACCCCTGCACTGGTCTGGTCTATTTCCCTAATAAATAGGTCCTGCAGAGACCTCCTTGGAGTACAGCAAGCTGAAGTATTTGGCTGGACACTTTCTGAATGGCCAACATTTGGGCAGTTACTCGGGGAAAAAGGGAAGAAGAAAGTTCTGTTGGCTAGTTTTAAAGGGACCTGGGAATCATACACAGAACTTCAAGCCAATCTGTGAAGCACACCAGCCTAAGTAATACCTCCCTTCCTTCTTTACACAAAGTCTAAGATGCTCAATCTTTCCTTGTTTCTTTAAAAAGTTCTTTTATGTTCATTCATTCAGCAAGCAGTGATTGCCTTTGTCAGACCCAGGCAAGGTACCAAGGTAGAAAGAGAAATGAGGCACAGCCCATGGCCTCAAAGAACTCATAAGCCAGTGGAGCCAGGCAGACACATAATAAGCAAATACAGATAGGTATCAGGTAGCAGTGTGGTACAGGGTTGAGAATCAACAGTGGAGATCAAGAGACTTAAGTTCAACTTCCAACTCTGGCTCTCACTAACTGTGGAATCTCAGTTGCATCATGCAATGTCAGCCTCAGTGGCCTCATCTAGCAGAGAGGGAGGATTAAATAAACCCCGTACACAGAACCTGTTTTGCACATATAATAACTTACTATTATACTTGTTACAGGAACTGTACAGAAGTGAATGTGAATCCCAACAGGAACACAGGGGAGATGATAAAAGAATCAGGGATACCAAGTTTGGGGGAAAGAGGGACCCCTGAGGACCTGACTGTATTGCTAGGTGAAAATTGCTGGGAATGATATCTACCCGATACATTGGAGGTTTTTTTCTCCTGAACCTCCAATACTCGGACATAATGGGATGGAGACTGCACACACACCCAGCACTGAGACCAGCTCGCTTTACAAACAGCTCTCAGGGCTCATAGGACCTGGAATTTCTACGTGCCCTGAAACTTCAGCATTTCTAGTTTCTTTGCCCCCTCCTCCTATTCTTTCTTGTCTAGATTATGAACTTGAACAGCTTTTGGTCTGGTCTGCATCCTGTTACCAGTGCTTTTTCTAAAATTTGAACTTGATAATGCCCCTTCCCCATGTGAAACCCTCTTGAGATTTCCGATCTTTCCAGATAAAATCCACACAGTTCAGCAAGGCCCATTTGGCTCTGGCTGTTCTTGCCATAGTCTCCACCTCCTTCACCAGACTTACCTCTTACTTTCCAGTGCATGTTACCCTTAAAACTATGTCGCCATCGTGGACATTCCCATGTACTGTTGTCTCTCTCTCCCCCATAGGCTTGCACATGCATTTCTTTGCTTGAAATATTCTGCCTTCCACTCTCCTTTCTGATTTTGAAAAGTTCTTTATGATTCATCTTGGGTGTGACCTTCTGGCTTCCTTTCCAGACCCACTCACTCTGGGTCAGCTGCCCTCTCTTCCAAGTCTTCATCACACCTGCACAGGTTCTTCCGTGACTCCTTTCTCCCTATCAGCCTCTCTGCATTGTCGATTTCTTGGACTAATAAGTCATTTGTCTCCCCACCTGGCTCAGTCCTGACTCATGCAATGTTTCTGAATGAATCACAGAAACTTAGACACAATCTCAGCTATCCCACTTGTAGGTGCATGAGTGTCCTCTGCAGAGACCTAACTGGGTCCCCAGTGAAAAGGCTACTTCAAATGCCATCCTCTTCTGTGTGTAGGGGCAAGTGGAAGGCCATCTGGAGCAGAGACAAAAAGTGAGTACCATTCCTGGGAGAAGAGCCACTGGTTCTTCTTGGTGGTCAGTCTACCATGGGAAGGTCCCAGTCAGACCCTGACAAAAGGGTCTACATAGAACTGGTCTGTTTCTGGGTGGTCCTTGGAGAGAGAGCAGGGAAGAGGGAAGGAGGCACGTCTTAGAGCCGCTCCACATGGTCCTGCAGCAGCAGGCTTTAGCTTCTTAGCCCAATTCTGGAGCACATGTCAGCTGTCTGGGACCTGAGCCTGGCATCTCGCTAGATAAGTGTGTGGCCATTAGGCAGGACAAAGCTTCACCAAGGAGACTATGTAGTAGCCAGAAATGCCCACACCTCAGAGATCCCAGCCCACCCCAACTTCAGACTGATGAAGTCCCCTGTTTGGAAGGGCCCTAAGTAGGGGGACTCTGGACCAGATGGACACATCTGGTAGCCAGGTGTGTGCTTGAATGACAATCGAAGACATAGAAGTTTATGGAGTGTTCATGTTGACTGTGCCTTGGTGAGGAACCCAGGGACCCACCAGGAGCTCCTTGCAGCTCGATGCCCTGCTGTGGTCTTCCCCTCTTAAACAGATGTTCACTGACTCCCAGCACTGTCGCCAGAAAAGGGCTCCAGATGAGGTTTGGCTGAACAGGATTCAGTCTCCAGGTGTCAGAGAAAGGGCATTATCTATTTCATTTTGTTTTGCTTTAACTTTGCAGTTATGAGAAAATTCTTAGAGTCCAGAAATGAGGGCCTTCACAGATGCGGAATTAACCAGGTTCTGAACCGGAGCTGCTACCCTATCCTGCCCAATCGGACCCCACTCACGTCCCAGGCCTCCATCATCTTTACTTCCCATTCCATTCGACTCCACAATGCCACCGTGAACACATGGGTATGGGCTCATCTGAGCCCTCCTGTGCCCATGCTGAGGCAGTGACACCTTAATAGTCACCCTGTGATTCTATGGCAGATATGGAGAATTTCAAACAGAAGGAATTTAATATAAAAAGTCAGTAACACAAGTGATGGAAGAGCCAAGAGGCTACAGGGGTTAGTTAGTGAAATAACCCAGTGATGAACAACATGGCAGAAGCTGTGGCTTCCCGAGGCTGCAGGGAACAGGGGAGGAGCCAGCCTCACCTGACGGAGACTGGAGTCTCAGAGACGTAGCTACTGGGAGACACAGCGAATTACCTTGCTTTCTCCCAACCTTTCACCTTCTCCTCCACCCTCAGTGACCTCACAGTGACCTCACGTGAAACCCAGACAGATGTCAACTGACACGGGAGCCTGTGAAAACCAACCTGCCATTCAGAGAACAAGGGGGGCAGACACAAACCTGTCTGCAGGCAAAGAGGACAACCAGGCACAGCGACCCAACCTCCTCCTGCTTCACCTCCACTTCCCTCCTCATGATCTCCAAATGTCTTTCTTTAGCCGTTGTCCTTCCTCTGTCCAATCTTAGGGAAAGAGGTGTCTTTGGTTTTCCTGGAGCTAGATCTGGTATGGAATGTAACCGAAATGTCTACAAAGCCCAGAATGCTAGGGCAGACCCTCCCAGCTCCTGAAAGCATGCTGTGTAAGATGGAGACATTGCTTACAGAAGCTGTCTTGGAAAAATGCCTCCTGCTGTGAAAAAGGTGCCAATACCTTTCTTGATTTTTATAAGCTATAATAACAAACTCATATGTTAACTATATACGGTCAAGCTATTTCTACTGGATGAACTACTGGCATAAATGTGCACTTATTAAAATTCAAACCAAGAATGATGTTTCTCCCTGAGGGCTTCCTCACTGCTGTCTCTCTTTTATAGATGAGGAACTTGAAGCCAACGATATCAAAGCCTGAAACTGTTGTCTGCTTTGGAGTGAGGAGTTGTAAAGGACACAGAAATAACCTCAGCAGTGAACTGATTCCTGCCAGCCTTCCTCTGGGCTGCTTTTCTGACTTGGGAGGACTCGGCTGAAAGGAAATGCACACCTCTTCAGAAACAGACAAGGCAGTGCTCCAGCACCAGCCATTCTAAACTTGAAAAACAGAGCGGAGCCCTGGCCAGGTAGATCAGTCTGTTGGAGCATTGTCCTGATATGCCAGGGCTGTGGGTTTTACTGATGCCCAGTGAGGGCACATACAAGACTCAACCAGTGAATGCATAAATAAGCAGAAAAACAAATTGATGTTTCTCTCTCTCTCTTAAAAAAATCAATACATTTAAAAATGTTTTTAAAAAGCAGAATGTATCTGACTGACCTACTTGGAGCTCACAGAGAGGGTGGAAGCAAGGGAGGGAGGTGGGTTTGGCTGGTGGGGTGGGAGGTGGGTTTGGCTGGGGTGAGGAGGGGGGAAAATGCAGACAACTGTACTTGAACAACAATAAACTAATTTAAAAAAAAAGAAATCAAGATCGTACAATCTGCAGCCTGAGGACCTCACAGATGTCAGATTGGCTCCCAGCCCTGTGCCTGGCACACAACACACACCCATTATGTACTTAACAAATACAATAACTCAAAGTCAGAAAACCTTAGTCACCAAGTACTGACTGCACCACCTTCAGCTGTCCATGGAAGCTCTCTGAGTCTCAGTCCCACCACCTGTAAAATGGGGATAATTATATAGTCCCGTTTACTTCACAGTATTGTCATTAAGATCAGATAAGCTTGTATGTGTGAGTTGCTTTTGTAAGCAAAGACACTGTTTTAGAACGCTCTAAATATTAAAAAAAAACTTCCTATGCCAATGCTTGCATACACATTTATTAAGATACAGCCAAGTGAAATGTGTCAACTTGTCCTCTCAAGTACAGTCCTCTTCACTGGTGTGTAATGATGCCCAAGGGCTGGGTGAGTGACATCATCAAAAACAAATGCCACTTTTTTACAGACTTGGCCCGAACAGTGCAGCCCAAAGCTTCAGTCCAAACTGCAAGAAATCTGAGGACTTTTCATTCACAATCTTGCTTTTCACCGTTATTGACACACAAGCTTTAATTTTAATGCTCATTTCAGGTCCTCATTTTAAAAAAAGCTTCTATTCTAATTTAGCAGAAAGCAGAGTTATCAGCGTGAAGGACAATGCACAAAAGTACAGCTGCTTGCATCCACACTCGCCTAAATTAGAAACATGTTGCCATTCAGGGGGCTGTAATAGCACATGCACAGAAGCGATGCCGTGGACAAATGGTCATGTGGGTGTCCACCTGGATTCTTCACTTTACTCTGGGTCCTTGTCTTCTTCTGAAAAATGGGGGACTGATTTCTTCGCAACAACATTGTCCAATCTCTGTCCTTGCAGATACGGGTTGACACTCTGAAACAATATACATGGTTTGGTGTTACACCTGAACCTCAGAGACAGACATCTCACAAAACAGGTGAGCAAGAATCATTTCTGGCCTACTGAATTAACTATAAGGTAACAACAGTAACTACCACCTAGCAAATGGTTACTCCAGTGAACTAAACAACCCCTCAGTGGAAGGAGAGATGTTGTCTGACAGATGTGTCTAATTGTGTCCTTCGCACAGCTGTAAAGTTCTTATTGGGCACAATATTTCCCCCTCCTTTTTCTGGCACAGAGATTTGGAATGAACCAACTAATACACTCTCACTATTAACTAAATACATGAGCCCCATAAGAAAGAGAATTATTATTCTATGACCTTATTTAGGTGGGAGAGAGAATCTGAAATGCATTAGATTATTTTACAAGAAGAAGTTTCTAAAGATGACAGAGCAGGCCAAGTTAAAATTAGTATTTGCAGGCTGGCCACAGATCATCCTATTATGTTGATTCTTCATGCCAGTATTTTCCTACGGAGGATTCATCCGGGGCTCCAGCAGCCATTTCCACCTTCCCTCGGTTAAACTGAAAAGCTGAAGGAAAAGGAGGAGGTTGTACAGAAGGCTCCATTATGTTTGACTCAAGATTCGACAGTCTGAAATCTCTTTTATCTGTTGGTATTCTGAATGAGTCAAGGTTTTTCCATTCCTTCTCTAATACACACCTATTCTTTGAGGCTTGGGTTTGAACTAGTAACTAACTTAAGCAAGCAGAAAAAATTTGAAGTTGTGAAATATTAGTTTATTGAAGTTATCTTCCAATAAGTGAACAAAAATATAAGAAAAAAGCTGTAGTTGCAAATGATCGGCAATTCTGTCAGATAGGAAGTCCCCAGGAATGAACAGATGCAGTTCACAGGTGGGTCTCTCTTCTCCATGGGCCGTGGTCTGCTGTGACTCTTTTGAAGGGTAAGTAGACATTCTCCAAAGAGAAACAATGGAATCTGAGTTTAGTGTTTGTAAATGTCTTTCCACAATTCAATGGGTAGTGAATCATGAAAGTCCCAACTCACCCTGCAAAAATGTATCATGAACCAGCTAAGAATTACAAAATATGTGATGTCCTCATAGATCTGAAAAATGATGTCACAAAAGATAATGCTTTGCTGGGAAGACATCTTTAAAATATTTAAAATAACTCACATAGCCCTGGCTGGTGTAGCTCAGTGGATTGAGTGCAGACTATGACCCCCAAAGGGTCACTGGTTTGATTCCCAGTCAGGGCACATGCCTGGGTTATGGGCCAGGTCTCCAGTGGGGGCCACATGAGAGGCAACCAAACATTGATGTTTTTCTTGCTCTCTATCTCCTTTCCTTTCCTTCTCTCCAAAAATAAATAAATAAAATCTTTTAAAAAAACATTTTAAAAAATTCGCATACTTTCCGCACCAGGAAGATCGTCAACTAGACGGGCCTGGCCTATCTTAGGGAACTATATTAGAATTTTTGGGTAAGTGGAGTAAGTGTGAACTGAAAAAGTATATTAAATATCATAAATATTTTGAGTGACTTCTAGTAATAGTATTTATTCTGAGCATTCTAATACATTAAAAAAGGATATTATATGTTTGTAATAATTACCAATGGAATAAAAGGTTGATAGCTCTTTAAATAAGATAAATAGTAAATCTCAAATATTAACAATATACATCTTAAGAGTTAAAAAAATTGCAAAGTCATTTACGGGTGAATTAACCTTTTATTCATAAAGCACGGAGGAATTCAACTGAAACTGAGCAAGTATAGAAAGTAACCATCAGGGGCTTGCTTGAACTCTGGGGAGAATCCTCCTGGATTCTTTTATAGGAGACAAACTTTCTACCCAGACTTAGAACATGACCAAGACTGGAGAGAAAGGGAAGTAAGTGAGTGAGGAAATAAAAGGAGCAATCAGTTGGACCTTTTTGATGAATGTTTAACTATTCATATTGAATCCTAACTTAAGAGCAATAATAATAATGATGATACTTGGTTTTCAGTACCCTTTGAAGAACTTCAGGTGCTTACACATGTATCTTCTCCTTCAAGTGAGAGACTGGCTAGGTCACCAAGGGAACGTTATTCCCATTTCACAGCTGGAAAAACTATTAGAATTGAATCCCTACTTTCATGTCTTCTGGAAACCCACAGCAAATGCTGAGCTTCATTGGAGAAAGCCTTACTTAGCTCCAAAAGGAAGCCCATGATTTATACTGATTCATGCACTTGAGGTGGTAAAATCTTCAATCAAGAATAGGAACACCAGCTACGGCCTGATGCCCAGGGAGGCAAGTTCTGTTTCCCCAGCAGTCCCAGGAGGCCCACAATTTACGGCATGAGCACGGGTCTTTGCAGATGCCTGAGAATAGAAAGAACTTGATACTTACTGGTCAAAACAACCCTTATTTTCACAAATTCTAAGCCTCTCCTATGAGGAGGAAGTTGAGACCAAAATAAAACCTTTATAGCACGTGTCCTAGCCAGAATTCTGATTTTCTGGTCTCATCACTGAACCCAAATCATGACCCACAGTCACTACTTAAGTCAGGGCAAGAAGGGATGGTGAGCCAGGAAGTAGGGACGATTAAAGCTTCGGGCTGAGTTACTCATTTTGGGCCCATCATCAGTCTCATTTAGAAATGGCCTTGTTGTGCCATGGAGAGATATTCAAGCCATTTCACTGGTAAATTATGTGTACTCTGAGCTCCTACAACAGAATGTCTTGATGTTCTCTCAAGACCACACAACACCCTTTGGACACTTCCTGCCACCATCTACCACTGGAAACTGTAATCACCCAAGAAAAACCCCTAATAACCCTGGTGAGTCTCCCAAGAAGGTCTGTTTCCAGACACCAGAACTGTGTCTCACAGAGAGAATGGGCCATGGGACCTCTGAATTTTTGTCAGGTAGCATAGGGACTTGGGACTTTCTGCTGCGGGAGCCTGAAATTTAGTGCTGAGTTCAAAAACGCCACACCTCCTTGAGCACCCTCTGACTGCACTCGGCAAAACTCTCAGCATGGCCACCAAGACCACTGTCCAGAGTCCCAAATTTTGCCAGGATCCTGGCAATTGCTATTCTAAATAATCAGTCAGTGGCTTTGGGTATATGGTTAGCTTTGTGTATTTTAACAAAAATGGTTACTTTCTGGCCACACTTTCTATATGCAATAGCAGAATTTTAACTTTTTCTTCCACTGACCAGAAACTGATGGCAGGTGGCAGGGCTCTTCAGAGTAGGAAGGCGCCAGAGGATCAACAGAGCAGACAACGATCACTGATCAAGTCCAGACACCACCAAATGCACGAGAAACCCAAGGCAAATTTGACCACCCACTGAAGTGTTCCGACCACGGAAGATTATGGCCAGTCCACCGTCCTGACCAGAAAGCTCTTGGGTGTCCCCCAAGCTTTGCACGAGGCAGTACTGTGGTGGCTAAATGTGAAGCACCCAGGCCAGAGTCCCACCCTGGGCAGCCCTGTGGAGGTTGGTAAATTGAGTGATCAGCAAACCAATATAACAAAAATCTAGTCAATTTTTACATCAATCTGGCCAAGCCAAGACAAAAGGTATGTGGGAAGAATGAGGTTTGTTCACTTCCTCTTTCGTCCCCACATTCCTTCAGAATCGCAGCCTGGAGCATCACTTCCTTGTTCCTCTCCTGTGCATTTATATAATTGATGCAGAAGGGTGAGCAGCTTCCCCAGTGGCCTGCAGGCCCTCTGAGGGAAGACACACCTCATGGACTCCCTGCACTTCCCACACCCGTACAGAGATGCAATACACGTGTTCTGTGTGTGCAATGTAGGTGACGGAATCACCACAAAGCTTGGAGTTGCACTAAGAGTCATGTGTGAAAGCTAGAGAAAGCCATCCCAGAAACCCAGGGCAGGCTCCCTGGGACCACTGCTCAGCCCTCCCAGGACTGCACATGAAAGGATGCTGCTGCATTCCAACCACTGAAGGTTATAGCCAGTCAACCGTCCTGACCAGAAAGCTCTGGATATCCCCCAAACAGCCCAGCCAGCTGCGTGTTACCCTCCGCTTTCGTCTCTGTCCTCCCTTCATCTTCTCGTAGAGGAGTTTCTTGTTCTAGAGTGGGGAGAAGAGAAAACAAATGCAGAAATATGGATCAAATTTGGTGAACGTCTATTTTAAAAGCAACCCTTAGTGTGTCCCCTGGATATTTGCATACACATATTTTGGAAACAAAACTAGATGAAAGGAATGTTGTGTCAGAAAGACCACAAGGGAGAAGCTGGTGGTTGTATAGCTCTGAATAAAGTCCTCTGCAATGCCCCAGGGCCCGTCAGTGTCACAGATAATCACCTAAACAGGGAAACACCACATTCTGAAACCCAAGAGACGCTGGAAACCCATCTCCTCCCTTTGAATAGCCGTCGTTTAAAACAAACAAGTTTATCTTGCTTTACTTTCGTGTCTAACTCCCTTATTATGAGCTGTACACATAAACTGTTCTCTAGAGTAGTGTCTGACTATGAATAACAATCTTCTAGGTAAATAAATGAAACACTGACTTTTGCAACCTTTCCTCCTGTGGCTGAAGTCAGGGTACCCAGTCAAGACAATCGGAAAACCATTTGGTCTATAACATTTTTAATAGACTGAACCTTTTAAAAATTGCCAAAAAAAAAAGCCTTTTGGCAGAAAGAAAGTTATGCTGGGGGAAGAAAACGGGATCTGTTACCACAGTTTGTATAAGCGTTTCCACATATTGCTGTATTTCAAACACGTAGGGGACTTAAATGAGCTCTGGAATATCAGACACATGCTCAGCAGATTTCCCTCCTATTGGGATTGCAAAAGACAGACACGTAACCTGGAGGCACAAGGAGAGAAGAGGGACTGGGGGACTATCCTTGTGTTGTTCTTTTTTCATTTGAATTTTAATAAGAAAGGAAATAATGTACAAAAAATGTGATGCATCTTACTCCAAATAAAATACCCTGACATTGATTTTAAAAAAAAGAGGAGATGACAGAGTTTTGGTAAGGAACAAGTTTATGCAGCACTTGTATCCTCTGAACTGTCTGGGTAGAAGGAATTTTTATGGTAGATTTGGAAATGAAAATGACAAATGCCAAGAATAAGCTTCGTAATATTTGTGTTCATTAGACTCCACCTCACCCACAATTTACAATGCGTATCACTCGCCCAACCTCAACTATGCAGAGAGCCCGCCAGGGAGGGAAGGAGCCTCTGCTGCCCAAAGGCCACAATGGCCACGGCCTTTTCCCATGGTCACTTGGGGACCTGACCAATTTCATATCAGGTGAAGTTTTGCCATTTGTGACAATGTGCATGGACCTTGAGGGTATTATGCTAAATGAAGTAAGTCAGACAAGGACAGACTAATAGCATATGATTTCACTCATATATGGAATATGAAAAACAATAACAACAACAACAGAACAAAAACAAACTCATAGAGGCAGACAACAGATGGGTGGTAACCCGGGGGGAAGGGGAATGGAGGGAAGGCAAATGGGGAAAGGGGGTCAGGAGGTCAATTGTAAGGAGATGAATGGAAACTAGACTTCTGATGGTGGACATGCTATAGTGTATACAATACCAAACTACAATGCTATACACCTGAAATTTATATAATATTATAAACCAATGTCACCTCAATTTAAAAATATATATGTATATATAAATATGTATATATTTATATATGTATATGTATATACATATACATATACATATGCATATGCATATGTATATATGGAAAAAAGGTGGACATGTAGATCATTCACTGGAGGAATGAGGATATCTCAGTGAGGCTCACTCCTGTCATCTATAGATGCCTTCCTGGGATGTAACAGTTCCCGATGCTCCAAGAATGTCTTGGGAGTTTGCACCAGAGCTGGAGAAGGCAGCTGGGGAAATAGGGGTGAGGATAGAAGCTTTCCTCGCTCACCTCCATGTTCAGCTGCCTGAGCAGGAAGGAGTGAGTGCACAGGGACCTGAGAGCTGGCACCACCACGTGGGACAGCCAGCCAACTGCGGCAGAGCCCCACAGCGCCACCAGCAGGGTAGAGGCAGCATCGTTTTAGTTACCCTCCTTTAGAATGTCGTGGGCCAGATTATGCCCGTAAGGGACTTCATTCAAAATGAAGTGCAAAAGGTCTGGCAAGTCTTCCTCTCAAGGATGGTCCCTGAGTTTCCCAAAGGGCCACGGTTAGGACAGCAGGCTGATGCTGTCCCATCCCTGCATGAAAGTGGCTGGGGCATTGCAGTTAGCCCTGCTTTGTATGGGTTTACAGGCAGGGACTGGCAGGTATAGTATGGATAAAGGAAGTCTGAGAAGAAACCAGCCCCTTCTCCTGACACCCATTCTTTGTCCACGGGGTGGAGAGGGGAGAGTGGTGAGCCTGGTTCCCATGTGAGTAGCAGGTTTGAGTTCATAAAGAGGGCTTTCCATTGTGCCATCAAGATTTTGGACAAGTGCCCAGATGTTGGTTTCAAATTCCACTCCTAAATGGAACCAGGGAGACTTCTTGCAGAAATATATGCTTCCAGGGCTAGGGCAGGGAAAGCACAAGGATGAATGAATTTGGAATATTTAATTGGGGCAGAAAGTTAGGAAGTACTCAAAAAATGTTAAAAAGAAAGAGAAGCCATATTACAGATTGCCACTGGTGAAATTTAGGACAGTTTGAACACCAAAATAAATAATAACAGGCATCAACAAATCCATACTGATATTAAATAGGTCAACACAATTTTAGGTAAATATATACATGAGTAAATAAATAAGAAAGAAAGAAAGAAAGAAAGAAAGAGAAAGATCTTCATTTATGTATTTCTACTTTATTTATTTATCTACTCTTGCTTAGAGTAGAATGCCAACCAATAAATGCTCAAAAAATAACAGTGAGAAAATCACCTTCAAAACTATCACAGTTATAATTGATTCTGGTAAGGATCATCAATGGATACTAAAATTGTTAGTTAAAATTTTAATGTGAACAAAACATTTATACAATCTCAAAGTAGCCCCCCCCCCACAGATGAATTATTAATTTCAAAAGGAAAAATGTTAACGTCGCACTGGCGAAAACTGGCAGATACTACTTTAAGTAAGCTACCACAAAGTTGGGGACAAACTGGCATCATGTACCTCCTGATATAAAACACTACGAAGAGCGTAACATAAAGCCGGCGTAACTCCAGCTGGATCACATGGGAAAATCAGACAAACGCCACCCGAAGAGTCTCAACTCTTTAGACATATCAAGGTCATGAAAGGCAAAGAGAGGCAGACAGGGTCCTTGTCTCTCATTTCTCCTCAGCTCAGGCTCTGGCCAAAACCAGCTGCTTCTGTTTAAGGAAAAGCCTCTAATTGCTGAAGCTGCTGTTGAAAAGATGTGATAAGCACTTGGCAAGGAGAAATATTTGCTGTCCTTACAACTCTTTCCTAAGTAATGCTTGGTGATTTAACGTATGAAGGAGCAGAGTGACCAGCCTGTGGTCATAGCCACTCAATGCTGTGGGTACACACATCGTGTGAAAGGCAACCAGTCCTAGATAGGACTTAATGGGATCCCTGTACAGGGCACTATCTGAGTAATGAGCTGTGGACAAGGTAAGGACTTTATTCAATATTCAAAGAACTCCTGGAGTCAGTTTGGTTCAAATCCCAGCTCTGACAATCATCAGTTCTGTGGTACTGCACAGCCTACTCAAACTCCCTAAGACTGTATTTTCTCATCTGTAAAATGAGAGTAACAGGGATGGGCAGAATGAATGGGATAATTCATGTAAAGTATTTAACATAATGTCTGACACATAGTATGTGCTCAATAAATATTACTATCTATTAGTGTATTACAAAAGACAATTACTATTCATCTTTGTATTCCAATCACCTAACACAGGCCTGGAGGGCATATGATGTGCATTTCATAAATGTGTCTAGACACATTAACAAAGACAAAAATGCAGGAAACAAGACACTGATATTTATATGGGAATCACTGCTAAAAACCAAGCTCAGCTCTAGGGAAACATTATCTGCAAATAAGGAATCAGGGCCTTGTATGCAGTTTCATGTGAAAGAGAATTATTTTGTTAACTCAAAGGGTGGTTGAGCTTAAGATGAGCTTGAGGCCATCACTCTCTATACAGACTGAGGAAGCTTGTGGACCCCAGCCTAGAAAAGAAGGCGTACCCAATTCACACTTCCATGTGAAGATCAAGCAGACCATGTTTTACTGCTAAGTAAATGAGAAAATAAATGAAAGGAACTTCTGTTTAAACAACCATATAGTCATAGATTATAAAAGGTGTGGAAACATTGGTCCTTGGTCACAATCTGTAATAGTACTTCCCTTTCATTTAGTCCTAACTTACATGGTTGAGCTCTGATATAGAAAAAGAGTAGAAATGACAGAAAACAAACTGGTATTTAGAAACGGATGCAAAAGAGATGAAGGGTAGTGTTGGCCTCTTACTGGAGTGTTGAGAGTGAGTGGAACTTGGTGAGAGAAATCTGTGAAGGTTTTTAAGAAGAGGCAAGGAAAGTTGGCAAGAGAGGAGTTTCCCTTTCTCCCGATTCCCCAGGTGGGGTCTCTGCCCTGAGTCAGACTGTCCGCAGTCTCCCTCTCGCTTCTGTCTGCTCATTTCCAGCCTGCCAGCTGTGCAGGCTGCCTTCTCGCCTTCCACCTCGACACTGACCTTTTCAGCAAGTTTGACTTCCTCACTGGCTACTGTACATCAGCTGTGTGAGTCCTCAGTCGTGGATCTTCCTCTACCTTATCTTCCACCTGTCCTAGTAACTGCACCTGGTGCTCATGGGATAGCCAGAGCATGATGCTGAACAGTGCTAGCTTGGGTTCATTTTATTTTCATTTAGTTTTTTTCAACCAGAAGCCTGTAAGCTCTGTGAAGACCAGTACCATGTCTTGGTGACTATTGCACATTGAGAACCTAGCACAGTGCCTGGAACAAAGCAGGCTTAATATCTTCCATTTGGTCTTTGTTGAACCCGCCCCTTGCTTCCATTCAGCAATATTTTTCTCCATCTCTTGTGGATTCTCTGTGATCCCCTGTGATGGTCTACTCTCTCCTTCCTCCTCTCAGCTCCCTCCTTCCCTTCCCATATCCCTTCTTCCCTTCCCACCTCCCTCTCTTCTTTTCCCCTTTCTTTCTAAGATCCCCCCAGAGGGAAAGTTCACAGCATCTACTTCATATAAACCTGACATAACTCTTCTTTCCTCTTTGTCTCTATTTTTGTCACATAGCAATTCTAGTCAGTTCCCCGGCCTCCTTTGAGATGTCTTAGAGTCTCATCATGTTGGGGAGATTCACTTGAATTCACTATGTCCACAGCCTTCATAGCTGGAATTACTGCTTATATGATTTCCTGCCTGTAGTCTCTTCTGCCACCAGAATACACTTGATAGAAGTCTTTTGTAATTCCAGTCTCCTATTTAAGAACCTATAGATGTTTGCCAGTTTAATTCAACATATTTAAACTCTGCTGGTAGGCTTCAACCTGGCTCCCCGGCTCCAATTCTCCCTAACAGAACTGTTTATAGAAAAAATGAAAATAGAATAATGCATATATGAGGAAGCAAAATTAATTTACAGGGTGTTATTGCTTTGTTCATTTAAGACAGAAAGCATGTGCACATTAAAAGCTGCATGTTGAATCAACTCAGTGTGATGTTAAAGCAAAATGATGAAAAAATAAAAACGGCTGTTAATGAGGAGAGACAGTTCTCTCTAAAAGAGTACAAAAGGAAGGGAGAGAGTTTGGTTCTTGAGACTACAAAATTCCAGGTGAAGTCTGAAGCAAATTCAGCTTCCAGTAAGGAACTGAGATGGGACGGATAGCTTTCAAAGGGCTTGGGCACCTAGGGATTTCTTCTCATTCACTCGTTCCACAGACGTATTCACCACCTACCGGTATGTGAATTAACACTCCCTAGTATTGCATTCTCCGCTTTTCTCACACAGCTTCAGCATTTGATTATATAGGCTCAGCCACAGAAACATAGCAGAGGTCTATCCCCATTCGACTGGGATCTTATTCGGCTCATTGTTCCAGCCTGTTACAACCGTCCTAAATCCCAGCTCGGTCATTCAGTGCTAGCCCTTCCAACTCTGTGTCATTTTTTGAGAGTCTGATTAGTACACGTTCCATACTTTTTTATTACAAACATTTATAAAAATGTGAACATGCAGGATGCCATGTGAAATCTCTCTCCCAGTTGATGTGGATGGACTCTTTATCAAGCTCCCTTCTGGGGACATTCTCTTACTGGGGCGTATCTCTCAACTGCGCGCAACAGGAGATCATGAAGGATCTCATCAAACCCTCCGCAGAGGTCCAAATGCTCCATGCTCACTTTATTTCCCTCATCAAGCTGGCAAGTGAACGAATAATGCTGGCAATGATTAATTTGACAAAACTTGTTTTTAGCAAACCTGTGCCAAATGGTCATGATTTCTCTTTCCAAGTACTTATAAACAATTTCCTTGACTGGCAATTATAGATTCTTGCCTGATATTGACAACAAGTTCACGGATGCACATTTTGGAACTTTCTTCCCTCTTTCCGTAACTCAGAATTACATACATCTGTTTCAAAGCTTCTGGCATTGTTTTTCCTTAGTTCTGCAGTGGTCATTACCCTCAGTCTAGAGTTAAAATTTGCAAATTTTCTCAGTATCTTTTTTTTATTCCTACCTGTCTTGTAAGAGCTGTGGGAAACACTGGTGAGACTTCAGGATGTGTTATGACCCAGATGGGGACAGAACGAGGGGAGCCCTTGCAGACTCTTGCCGATGAGAGAGTTCAGGCCATTGACTCTTTGGACGGGCTGGTATATTGTGGCCCCCACTGTGGTTTGGACTAGTAATTACTTAAAGTCCCTCTCAACCAGAGATTTCTGAAAAAGCAGCCACTAAACAACTGTTCTCTCTCCCCATCTGTGTTGCTCATCTCTGCCACGAGTGCCTTCAGAGCAGCAGAGCATAAGAGTACTCTGGTAACTAAGGTTGGACTCACCCACTTGCCCAAGCCTGGGTAGTCATGCTCCGGATCATAAAGGTGCTGGTGCAGCTGGAATTCTCGACTGAACTCTGCCGTGTCAGGGGCGTTTTCTAGACATCCATCATCAACTGCAAAAGGTTTTTGAGAAACGGCCAAGGCATTTATCATTATTCTAAGAGTTAATTTATTAAAAACAACTAGACACCCAAAGGTCAGACTGTGTTCACATCAGTCACTCTAAGCCACTTTCCCTCTGGGATTGACTCATCCCAAATGCTCACTCATCCCCTTACCTGTGACTGAGACTGGTTGGCTGCCCACCAAACCCACTTCCCCTACCACCTCTGCACACAGCCAGGTTCCCAGTCATGCCTTGCAATTGGATGGTGTTGTATGCCCGAGTTTGAGCCAACAGGACATGGGCAGAAGTGATGTATTCCACTTCCAGGTCTAGTCCATTAGAACCTCCTGGATGAGTCCCACTGCCTGTCCCATGCTCCCATGCCCGCCATGTTGCTCTGCTTGCTGCATGTGGCCAGCTGGGGCAACTTGGATGTCAGGTAGAAAGATGAAAGACTTTCATCGTCTGGGTTGCTGAACCTTCCAGGCCCCCATACCTCACCCACCTCTGGCAGGACATCACAGGAGTAGGAACTAAACTCCTATTGTGTTAAGCCACTATAATTTTTTATTTGTTGTAACAGCCAATATTTCCTTAACTAATATACTTCCATTCCACATGACTCACTCTGTTTCCCCTTGGCTGAGTCGTTAGCAACAGTTTCAGCTTTTGGAGAATGCACCTTATACAAGAACAAAACAATCACTAGACAGTCCTTGAGGCTGTGCGTTCCGGTGGTGATGGGGTAAACTTTGAAGTTGGATGGACTGGAGCTCAGGGCTACAATCCTGGCTCATAAGTGACGATGCATTTAGTTCCTTGGAAAAGTTAACTTCATCTCTCTGCATCCATTTATTCATCTGTGAGATGGGAATAATCACGTACTTACCTTTCAGGGCTGCTATGAGAAAGATGACCACACACAGAGCCTCTGGCACATGTTCGCCTTGCTCTTTGTTTTACTTCCCTTCTCACCGTTGCTCTTTCAGTGGCAGTTTGTACTGTGGCTGCTCTTGAACATAAAGCATGTCTTCCATTCAATCCCAAGAAGGTCATCCCTCTTCACTGCTGCTGTTACCTATGCCCTATCATTCATTACAAGACACCACGCTCTGAAAATGAGTCATTTCTTTCTGTCTCTAATGCTCGATAGACAGCTGTTTAAATAAGGGGACAGGGGAGGGATGGCGAATTTTGTGTAGGGCTGGGGAAAAACAGAGTCCGTTTTCACAGAGATAATGAACCACCAAAGTCAGTGCTAAAAGGGGTCTAACACAGTCAGTCAGGAGTCTAACCTCCTGAGACTGCTCTGAAGCCTTCCAGCGCCTTCAGGCATCCAGTCTCTCAGCTCTTAGCTACTGGAAGCTCGTGTGGGAGTGCTGCCTTCTGAACAAACCCCAAATGTGGCTCTCTGGGGGCTCCTCACTTTCACTGAACTACCTATCTAACTTCTTCATCTATAGCAATTAACCTACCGGAAAGGCAGAGAAAATCAAGAGAATTCTGGCAAGAATTCTTCAAGAGAAGTCTGCAAAAGGCAGCTTTACAACCTTTTCATAATTTTCTCAAGTGCCTCTGAGGGCCCCCAGACTGAGAGGTAAAGATAGAGCCCTGCCCTGGGAATCAAAGGCATCTTGGACCCAACAGTGCACCCCAGAATTCACATCCTATCCCTGAGGATGGACTCTGTTTTTTTTGTCCCCGGTGACAGGCCATGATTCAGAGGAGAGCGTGGCATGGGAGGGGCAAGTCTAGGTTTTTTTCTTGGATTTCTCACATGTGTGGTGTCATGATTCCCAGCAAGGCATATCTCAAGCAATTTCTTAGAAATAATGACCATGTCTACAAGTGGTTTCTTTTTTAGAATGCAAATTATGGTAGAATGAAGGCTGAGAAATAAGTTAGCTTAATGGAAGGATAACAAAGGAAATGGCCGATAAATTGGGTCTTTATCCAACTCTTTCTTAGATTGCTACATCTTAGAGCCCCTTAGTACTTCCTTACATAGATCTGTATTTTTTTTTATCAGGATACCCACGTTGCATGTTTTAAAAAGGCATTGACTATGTGTCCATTTTAATAGATGAGGAGGCTGAGGTCCTGGGAAGTAACGTGACTCCTGTAGTGAAGACTAAAACTCAGGTGTCTTGACTCAAACTCTGCTTCTCTGCCCACCCTCCTATACCAGCAGTTCTCACACTTTAGCACAGACCAGAATCATGTGGAAAGCAGGTTAAAATACAGATCACTGGGTCCTACCCCAGAGTTTCTGATTCAATAGATCTAGGAAAAGGCCTAAACATTTTCATTCCCAAAAAGGTTTCAGTAATGCTGATGCTGCTGTGGTCCTAGAACCACACCTTAAGGACTACTGAACTATATCTAATCCATTTAAGCAAATCCCCATGGGGACAGTTAGTCTTCAAACTTCAAACTTGGCTTTCTTCCTACCCTCCAAGGCCCTACAAGCAAGTGAGAGGTAGCAGAAGTGGTTGGCACTGTGCAGTGATCTAGGTTTTCCCGCAGTCCTGGGCCAGCATCCCCACCTTGGCCGGGTCACATTCAGCTCCTCCAGTTGCTCCATCCCAGGACGAAGGCTCTGTGCCCCACGAAATACAGAGACCTCACCCTGCATGAAAATGGGAATATCTTTGGGAGACAGCGCCTTCTAGACACAGCCTGTGTTGTGTTTAAGACAAGCTGAGGGGTCAATGCTGTCACGGTTTTCAGAGGAAGGCAGCTTATCCCTCTGGTTGTGCACATGGTGCTGAATCCAGTAGACCTGGGTATGAGTCTTGACTCAGCTACTTGCTGTGTAGGTAACCTTGGGCGTGTTATTCTCTGAGCTTCAGTTTCCATATATACATAGTAAGGATAATGAGTACCAACTATTATTATCAGACTTGGGGAAAGGGACTACTTTGGTACTAGAAATTAGCACAAGCCCATAAAGAGAGATGCGTTACTTCCTAGGGGAAAAGCTAATTACAATCTGGATGCCATGAGTCCTGAACTCTGTGCTAGGTGCTACGCCAAGTGCTAACACAGATCATTGCATTTAATTCCCACAATGACCCCCATTTTGCAAATGAGGAACCTAAAGTGAACATGGTTAATTAACTTAGTCAAAGTCACATATTTTGACCTTGGGTTTGAATCCAGATAGTTCAAGTCTAGGGCCACTATCCTTAACCACCAAAGTAAGATGCTCAAAGGCCAATATAAGTGTAACCACTCGCCACTCATTCTGTTTGCATTAGGAAGTAGTAAGTGGGAAGAATACACAAGTAGCAAGGAAAGTTTCAACCTTCTTCCCCGGCCAACTTCTTATAATACTGGACCTCTCTCTCTCATGCTACCTCCTGGCCTCTTAAGAAACACTTCAGGATGAATGTTAATTAGTTGACACGTAGCTGAAGTGTTGATTGTCAGGAGAAGTAAGGAAAACAAATGGGCATGGATAATCCACAAAACTATATAACCACTTCCAAAGACACTAAAACTGGACAGCGGTTGTATCATAGAAGAAGGGAAAACAATTCTTCCTGCAGAAAAGAGAATCAACTTCTACTTACAAAGAAGCAGAGAGACAGGTAATGCCTCAGCAAGGAAGTGTGGGTGCATCTAAATACCAGAACTTACCAAAGAATTTATTCTAGAATAAATTTCCCTTTCCCATCCACTTACAAACACATGAGGCATCAGTGGACTAGAAACACTATTTCTCATAATATCTGTAGCTGATATTTGAGTTGTTATTTTCTTCCCCAAACCCCTGCCATACAGGGGGACCAAAGGGCATGCCCATTACCTGTTTTTCCAACAGGACAAGGATTTGGAGGGTCTGGGTAGCCCTGATCCTCACTGAAGTCCTTAGGAATGTTGTCACCAGTCAACTCTGCCACAATGTTTGGGATGTTGCCAAAAGGACCCAAGTGCTGCAGGCCTTCATGAGCTCCACCTGCCAGGGAAACAGAAGTAGTTCATTTCAGTGCAATTCAATTCACTTCAATGAATATTTATTCAGGCATGCTAAATAAATATCATCCATGCAATGCACTGCGCTCTGTGCTGGGGGAGAGAGAAAGAATCAAACAATTTCTGCCTCTACTAAAATTTGTGAATTTTAAAAAATTAAGTTTTGGAAACAGACACATACTATACCTACATCATTGCCACACAAAGTGCATTATATATGCAGTATAACAGAAGTGTCAACACAGCATATAGGAGCCTAGAAAAGGGAGAGTTTCATTTGACTGATGTGAGGGGAGGGCTCCTGGGACCAGCTGGAACTTGGGTGGTGCTGACTCAGACGGGTAGGGCTGTGGAAGCTGAGCCTGGAGCTTGCGGGCTGGTTGAGGGCAGATGGGGGAGAGGGAGGGGAAAACAGGCTAAATGACAGCACATGTCCAAAAAAAAAGGTAGGTAAGGAGAACAGCCACTATACTCCTGCCACTCCATATCAACCACTTCACACTTAGTATATTCACTTTAATCTGTTCTCCTCTGCACATCTCTTCATACACAAGTGTTGATTCACTTCTCACTTAATATGAAAACACAAGCATCTCCCCACGTGGCTGCATGGCCTCTACGCCCATAATTATAAATGGCTAGTCGTTTCCTAGCCAGTGGCTCTGCCATGGCATATTAATCATTCCCCTGTGTGGGACATTTACTGTTTCCCAATTTACTCTCAGGCATTTAATTTTTTCCATAGTTTAGATTAATCTTTCTCAGGATAGTTTCCCACAAGTTAAATTACTAGGTCAAAGACTATAAATATTTTTATGGCTCTTTATATTAGATTGTCAAATTGTTATCGCAAAAAGGAGGTACCAGTTTATAAAGAATCATCAACAAAATATGAGAATATCACTTTTACAACATACTTACCAGCATTGGGTTTTATAAAAATAATTCTTATGTTTTTTCTTGCTAATTTAAAAGGCTCTTAAAAAATTCTGTTTTATTTCAAATGTCTTTGATTACCAGGTCAGTCAAATATTTTTCCATGTGCTTATTTACTAGTTTTAATTTCTTTTTTTGTGAGTTGTCTGTCCATGCTCTTGGAGTTTTAACATTTCTATTACAAATTTGTATGAACATTTTATATAATAAAGATATCAGGCCATTGGATGTCACATTTCCTGCAAATGCTTTCCCATGTTGTCTGACTTTGAATTCTGGATATTATAGTAATATTTTGTTAACATAAGGTTTTAATATTTAGGTAGTAAGATTTGTTGCTATTCTCCCTCATGATTTCTTTTCATCCTTCTAAACTTACAAAATTGTCGTGCTTTGAGAAGTACTACCAACATTTGAATATTTCTTTAATTTATTTTATTTTTAAAATGAATTCTTTTAGCTGTATGATCTCTGTTTTATTTAGTGCATGTAAAATAGTTAACCAATTATCCCACCAGGGTTTGTTAAGTAATTCTGTCCTTCCCCAGTTACTTCATTCCTTCAACAAATATCCAAGGGCCCCACACATAGCAACGCCTATGCTGAGCACTAGGGCACAGCAGCGAGAATGAACAACGTACATTGCGTCATTTAGTTTACTTGCTCATACAAATGCACGTCAACTCCTGGACTCTTTCTTTTCCTGTAGCCTTAGTACCCTGTAAGGTACAGGAAGCTTACTTTTCCAGCACAAGAGCAGATCATTTCTTGGAATGAATTCCTATCATTAACGTTATGAGGACAGAGGCCCCACACTCCCAGCTCCCATAACACACAATCATCCTGTACACAGAGCCGTACATGAAGGACCAAATCGACATCAAACAGTGTGCAGGAAATTAGAGCCCAAATCAGGCTAACTAACTCCACACTTCCACCTCGAGAAGGATGGTCTTGCGAACCTGTCATATTATTGAATTCCAGCTGCTGCTCCTGAGAGGAACAGGGGCAGCACCAGGTTGTGCCTTCTCACAGTTGCTTTTGGTTTTTTCCTTCTTTTTTGGCTGAACCAGCTTCACTTTGGATTGACACATATTTTTCTTCAGAAAGGCTAATGTATTTAATAGGAACATGGCTAGATCTTAGTGTCCTGAAAGTTACATTGCGTCTTGGAAGTGACTTTTGTCCCTCTGTCTTAATTTATTATGTTAGATTAAAGTTTATCCTTAAAAGGATAATCTTACCTCCTTTAATTCCAAATCCCTCTAGCCCCCAAATACAGCCAGCACCAAGTGGCTGGGTTGTTTTGTTTACATTTATATTATATCTCTCTGCTTTGTAATAAGAAAGAGTAGCCTGCAGATTTTCTGCATTTAATAAAAAAAGATGCTATTTTTGTAAATTTTCCATGTGGACATTGAAAATATGATATATTTTTATAGATTCCATAAATGTCTAAATGCAGCCAACTAGTCAGCATTCTTAATTACATTCTTTTATGTTCATATTCATATTTTATCTGTTTAAATGATCACAATCCAAGGGCTATCTGTTAAAATCTATCAATATCTACCAATAAGTATCTGTGAATCTACACTTATCAACACTTACCTACCAGTAAGCGTCTATTGATCTACTTTATTTCTCATGGTTTCCACTTTAGCATTTTGATGCTATTCTAATTAACGTGGCCCAGAGTATAAATTTTTCATTTTAATTGTTATTAATTGGCAGTAAAGTAAAAATTGACTAATTATATTTTGTTTCATATTTCCTCTAATTAGCATGGCACTCTTGGTCTGCCGTTTTGTGCTTGGTAACCCTTTGGTCACCCATTTCAGCTTTCTGCATCTCTCAGGTGGTTTGTCTGATTCACACTGCGATGGCTGCCTTCAGAAATATTCCGGTGATTCATATTCATTATGCCACATTAACCCAAGACCTGGGAAAGGTTGGACAGACCAGTACACCTGGTATTGATCCATCCAAAGCTTTGTGCAGTCTTGGCAAGCCAGCCACCACTGTGCTTGCCATAGGGCACGCTCTCTGGTGTGTCAATGCATGCCTCCACTTTTGAAAGCACCCCAGCCTTAAGTGCCGGGAATTATCCAACTTGGCTCAAAGGAGAATACATGTCTTAATGCTCCATTAGTAATTAATGAAGGAAGCAAACACAGTTTCCTTTATGGAAAGCCTGCCAAGGCTCTGTTTACTTCTGTGCACCAGTGCCATTAAAATGAATGCAGCACTTGTTAGGAAGCAACAGATGTTTAGCACCAGGCAGATACATTGCAACACAGGCTCTTTAAAAACTGCATTTGTGACATCGAATCAAGAAACACTCACTGAGTTAAGAACTGTGGGAGACGTGTGGAAGCAACAAATGCTATCTTTCACTCCCCAGGACCTTGAATTTTATAGACAAGAAAAGTAACCACATAAAGAAAAGAATTTGATAATTACAATGAATTGATTAGGTTCATTATTAATTATATATCAGAAAATTATACAGTTCAGTATACAACCAAATGCTAGTTATCTGATTCATTGTATGGTTTAGATTTGCTTATCTATTATACCTGAAGCCAAGCCAACCAAAATGTTAGGATGCTATGGAAGTTATTTGGTCCATTTGTCCCCATCTCAGCTGCACATATATTTTTAAATTACTAATTTTTCTATAAGTCTAAACGATATGTACTGAGCATATCTCAAGACCTGGACTATGTACTAGAGGGTGAACCAGGTGAACGTGGGCCCTGCTCTCCTAGTGTTTGGTCCATAGGGGCTACACGGAGAAACAAACACAGAAAATGCAGAGTTTTGATGTACTTATAATGTAACTGGGAAACAGCAAGGTGCCACAGATATGTGGAGGGGAAATATCTAACCCAGATCTAAGACACAGAGGACTTCCTGCAAGAAGCAACAGACCGATAGCTATGTTAGGTGCCATAGAAAATCTTTCACATTTATATCTTCTTGCTCTCTTGTTGGTTCCTCATTCTCATTGGTTACTTAAGGCTAACAAAATAAGACAATGGTATGTAATAAGACATGTTCTCCAATATAATTTTCATTATAGTGTAGAGTGTACATGATGTAGAAATTCAGGAAACAAGGAACCTCCCAGGGAGACTTCCATGGAAAAGGTGACACGTGGGTTGAATCATGAAAGATAGAATCCATGCTTACAGGTGGCAAAGAAAAATCCACAACTGAGGGCACAGGAGTGGGTGTGAGCATGGAATGTCTGAGTATCAGAGTTGAACCCTGCTGGGAAAGGGAGGAGCTGGACAGGAGGGGAGAAGGCCAATGCCAAGCAGGGAGGTATGGATGAATGCTCCTGTAGTGACAAACAGCAACCAAAGCTCTCTGGGTAGGAAAGCAATGTAGTAACTGGATATTGTGTAGAACACTAATTTAGCAACAGCTTAAAGCCTTTGTTTCCACCCAGGGGTGTATATCAGAATCGCTTTTGGAGTTGCTTTGTTGTTTTTTTTTAATCCCAGTGCTCCTGCTCTGAAACCAATATATCCAAGTGTTTTTTTGAAGACCACTATGCAAAGATAGGTTAGAGGAAAGTTAGGAAAGCCTGCTTTGAGGCTGTTGCTGAAACTCAGGGGTAAAGAGGCAAGGATTGGGGTTAGGGTGGCCACAACGTAAGTGGAAATATTAGAGATTTCAAACAGTGCACAAGGGAGAAATGAGTCACACAACCCAGAGGTTTGAGGCTCCCTGTTTTGGGAAAATAATGCTATTGGTAAAGATAGGACCTTTCACTACAGCTTTAAAATTATTCCAGGCAATTAATTAATTCTACCCTGTAATGATGCTTTATTTATCTGTTTCCATCACATCCATGCACTCCACAAATGTCTCTAGAATAAACAGAAAATATTTAATTCTTGCCAAATAAGTTTTAAGCCTAACTTTGTTTATATAAATTTGCTTTATATAATAAAATTGGTACCAGGCAGCTGTTTATTTCTGAGCTCCAGATATCAAATTATTGGTGGATTTTCTTTGCATTGTTTTGGCAATGAA